AACTGAAGTTTGAGAAACAGCATCATTTCTGGTATTAGTTATGTGAACAGAGCTGGAGACTGACTGCAAAATTAACAAGGTCATATTGCTTTCTAATTCTTTAAATCTGGAACTTTCCTGTATCTCTCTGCTTCATCCCCTCTTCATCTCTTTTTAAAATCTCATTGTGAAACCAATTTCCCCCCTTGCTTCTACTGCTCAGCTATTCTCTCTCCTTTATTTATTAAATTGTGTAGCTACACTATTCAGTTCTAAATAATACAGGAGTGACATTTACAGAGGAAAAATCATATCTGACATTCTGTCTTTCCTGTCCATTCACTATAACGTAGAGGTGGGTTACATTTTTTCCTGTGAAAACTGCCTATGAGTTGCAAATTGAGTCTGTCAACAAAATGAAATATTTTGTGAAAGACATTTGGCTTTAATGTAAATCGCACCAAATGACAAAGCAGAAAAGAAACAGCYAGCCACTCCACCTGATATGCTTCTCCAAAAGATATTCCTTATTTGCAGATGCTATTGCAGTATCTCAGGAGATTGCCTCCTATAAAATCTCTTCTCTGCACTTCGGTTTCCTTAGCTAGTTATATATTATTTTCTGCACTACATAAAATACAATCCAGATGGAGTATTTGAGCCCCATGGGAGAATTTAATACAGTCTATGGTAAATATACAGCTTGGTATGGTTAATACCGCTATCAGGGAACAAGATGCCTTTAACTTTTTACATTTAAATTTGAGGGTCTGGAGGGAAAAGGAAAAGGAGAGGAATAAGCATTTTCTAGCTTAACTGTATAGCTTGAGGTATACTCTATAGCTTGAACTGGTATGGTTTATACCCTATGCGTTCTGTGATTCCTTTCCCATGAGGGAATTCCTTCAGAAGGACTCAGCTCCAATGCAAAGTTGTGACAAGGCTGGGGCTTTTTATTCAACTCCTCTCTCCCACAGGAGATGAGACCTCTTGGTACAGGCTGCATAGATTATCATTCCCTGAATCCTTTCAAAACGTAAAAGCTTTAATCAGTGTCTGAGCAAGACAAGACTTAAGTGTAAAGGAACAAATCTAATACTGCTAGAGAGGAAACAGTGATTATATTAACAACTGGAGTCTGATTTTGGAAGGAAAAGACAGCAGTGCCTTTGTCTTTTCCTAAGTGCCTAAAAGACTTTTTCTTCTTTGAAAGTGCAGCCTGGTTTGGGGGAAGATATTAAAAAAAGGACTGCAGAACAAGGCAGACACTGCACCAGCATATCTAATTTGCAAATGTTTAGTATCTACAAAGACTGCAAAGCCAGTCTATCTAGAAATTCTTTTCAGAGCAGATTTTGATCTCTAGGGTCGAACATTTAATGGATTCTTTGTAAGTCCCTGTAGAGACTCACTTTCATCCAAGGTGACAAATGCTGCCAACTGTACAGTTTTCAGAATGATTCATAGTCTCCTATAAAGGAGATATGTCAATTTACCAGGCCTGAACATACAATATTCATTCAGGATCATGATAATCTATCTGCAATTATATCACATAAATATTCAAGCTAAAAAAAAAAAAAAAAAAAAAAAAAAAAAAAAAAAAAAAAAAAAAAAAAAAAACCCTTTATATCTTTATTGTGACAGAAACTAATAGCATCTTAGAATAAATTTTCAGGATTTTTTTCTTCCATCACAGGCCAAATCAGTTCCCTAGCTATGTCTTAGATCAGTTTATACTGCATAGTTGGCTGAGAAGCTGCAGAACAGAGTGACCACTTGCCATTCGACAAAGGTTTGATATTTTCTCGGATTTTCTGTTTTTAGGGACCGTTAAAAATTTCAATAATATTTGGGGTTTTTTTTTTGAAGCTATGATTCTGAATATTTTTGTAACAATACAATAGAGGAATAAAAATAAGAAAAAGTACAGTTAAATTAATGATCTGCTCAAATACATTTTTTTACATTAATGTATTTGGTCTTGGTGTTTGGTCTTACCGATAACTTTCTAGCAAACGTTCCTTCTCTACTTTTTTCTCTACTATTTAGCAGAGTCTTGGCGGAAGGATGAATCTGCTTTTCACACTGAGATCATGGATCTGATCCTTTAGGGCTTTTCTGTGGACAGCTCCTATTGCACAAGAGTGAAAACTCGAAGTTCCATATGTATTCACATATGATCTGTGTTCGCCATCACTCATTTTTCCTATACTTGTTAGAAGCAGTCCCAGTTCTTGGGGTGTTCATAGCATTTTATTATATGGCTACTTGATATTTGTAAGCTTGCATATCTTTCAGGAAATCTTGGGAGCACCTGACAAGAAATGCCTTCTATTTACGAGCCTCAGAATTCCTGATGGTTACAAACAAAGAAACGCAGAGCTCCCCTGGAGTCCCCCAAATGCCTTCCTGATAATTTTGCAAATGTCACCAAGGAAACTTATAGGAAATAGGAGTTCATATTTATAAAATTTTACAGTCCTGTCGGGTTCTTCAGGGCTTCACAAAGATACAAAACTGATACAAAACTCTTGAAACTTGAAAACTGAGTGTTTATATTCGATGGAGACATTCACTCTCCTGCACTATACATAAGAATAAAACCTCTCATTTTTAACACGAATGAAAGGCAAACAGGGACATCTGATAGGAACAGGTTAAGCAGGCATTGCAAAGTTTGTACTATTCTATTAATTAGTAAAATCAGTATGTAAGACAAATGGATAGTTTTCTGTGTTTTTATTGCCTCATTAAGAGCTTAAGAACATTTCTGAACTTTTTGTACCTAGATGTTCTTAGAGTAGAGGAATGTCTTTGTCATAAGTTCATACTAAATCTAGTATACAATTATTTCACATTTATCACCTTCCTTATAGGTTGGAAAACCGACACTACTGTCATGAGTGCTCACATTTCCCTCTTTTAGGGTCTTTGGGAAGCCTGAAAGATTTGACAAATTAGTTTCACTTGCTGTATCATCCCCCAGCATTACCCAAATGTTCTGCTGCTTCAATACACAGAGTTTCAGGGTGAAGAAGAATGAAATTCGTATTGATATTTTCTATTTTTCTATTTTTGAGGTAGGTACTGTCCTTCCTTTTTTTCTCTCCTCCTCCCCTCAATAAAAAAAAAAAGAAAAAAAATCCATGTGCATTTGGCTGCTATCCTATCCAGTGATAGGACTATTTAAATACTGAAGTGAGATACAATCATATTATTTATGTTAATGCTGTGGAAGAGCAGAGCATTTTGCAGCGCCCAAACATCAGTCTCTCTGCTCTAAAATCTGTTCTCAAGAGTGTTCTGGGCTTCTTAAAAATCTGCCACATACCTAGGTCTCTGCCTAAATAAGAGAATAAGAGAAATGCTTCTCATTGTGCCTATTAGGCAGCAATGCTGGAGAATCTGTTCTAAAAAAGAGATGTACTCAGGAGCTGTGCCTTCAGTTCAGCTAGAGGCTCAAGGAGAAAATAACCCCTGTGGAACAGTACTCGAGTATGCTGGCAGTGCAGTTATCTGCCCACAACTAACAGAGAAGAAAAGATTGCAGCTAAAAGATAACCCTTACCCATTTTAAAGGGTGAAAACAGAAAATGGCTCTTTGCTGGGAGAAACAGATAGTGTGAATTGTGTATACCCAGTAGGTCACGAGCTCTGTGTATCTAGTCCTGCTGCACAACACACAACAAACACTTAGCAATACACAGACCTCTAAGGACACTCAGTATTGATCTTGGCAAGTAATCCCTTAATAAAGATTTTTAGGAATTTGAGCTTTATAATTTAGCCTCCTTATGAATRTTTCGGTGGGTTGATTTTTGCATCTTCCCCATCCAACTGAAAGATTGTCACTATTTTTTATTAAACTGATTATTATTTTACTATTAACAAACAAAACAAGGGCAGTTCAAGTCACAATATGGCTCACAATGATAATGGATCAAAACCTGAAGGACTTACATTAGTGTAGAASACTAAGATTTCCTTGCTTTAGTTACCAGATATTATATTCCAAATTGTTAGCAATCTGCCTTCTCCCTCTAACTGTGCAATTTCATTTGTTTGGATTTTTTTTCCCAGCTTGCCCTTTTTCTGCATCATTAACGCTGCATAATCTCAATAAGGAAGTGCAGCCAAGGAATAAAAATCTCAGATATTTACAAAACCTAAAATCTCTAAATCTTTCTTTCATGCCTTGGCTTATATTTCTCTTCTTTGTGCTCTTCTCAGTCCCATTTGTTCCACTGTGACTTTTAGATGGGCATAGAGAATTAGTAAGAACAGATTTAGCTGATTCATGTTTAAGGAATGGACAACAGAAAATTCCTGCAATTAAGGCATTGATTAGGACTAAGTTCTCTACTGGTGGCTACTGCATGGCTCAGTAGCCAACCAGGAATKACCAAACTGGTCATTGGACTGGTTCCTTGGACTGGGCAGAAGCAGATTTCACATTTGGCATCCCTAAGGGATGCTGTGTGCACTTGCAATCCATGCTGTCACCCGCTCTCATGTGAAACGGCTTAGCCCCAAATTTCTACATGCATGTGCCTTGAAGTTCCTATTTCCTGTAACCTTCTGCAATCCTCTAAGCAAGGCTGCTGCACTCTGTCATTTAGTCACAGATTATTGCTAAATTATGCCACCAAACATAATCACATTGACATTCACCTTAATTGGACTGTTTCATTGTCACTTCAATGTAAACTTTCACGGTCCATAAACCTAAATATGGTCAAGCATATAATCCATTTATCCATGTTCACAAACATTGCTACTATGAGACAGATAGACCTATGCTTGCCTGCTACTCTATTTGACTCTGACACGAAACAAGATARTTATTAACAAGCTAGAACAACAAAATAATCAGCATACAGTAGAATATCTACTTATACAACATTGTATGAGGGATCATGTCAAAACTTCAAAATACTTTTTTAAATATTAAAAATATGCAACATACTGCAACATTCCTAAAGAATCTGAATTTGGGTGATGCTTTAAGCGAGACCTACTTTCTCATAGTACTTGATCTCGTAGTCCAGAATGGCTCCATGGGGAAAGTCCGGCTCTTGCCAGGAGAGGGCAATGCTGTTTTGGGAAGCCCAGTCCTTCCTTACCATACCTATCAAGGAGGGTGCTGAAAGGGAAAAGGATAACTAAGGGTTAAAGACGAAGCACACTCTTTATCCTTTCAACCTACCAGCTCGCCATAGCAAGGCAAGCTACCTCCGAGTGACCTACAGGCAGCAAAGCATGACAGATGGCAGTTCCCAGGGAAAACCTGGAATTAACGTCTCAAGTACGTACCAACAACTCGTCGTGCAAGCGCAGACCAACTTCTGAAAAGTGGCTGTACAAAAAGGGCACTGCCTCTCCCCAAACAAGCACCTGCTAACTGCAGGTTGTGCATTTCCTTGGTTTTCAACTCTCATTAGGGTGATGGGGACAGGGGTGCAGGTGCCTGGTGCTCGAGGGGCTCGAGCTGTGGCCACCCTTGGTCCCAGGGGCCTGCACCCAGCCCCAAGGCTCTGGGGACACGGCGTCCCCAGGCATCCCCATGCTTAGGAGACAGAAAATCCTTCCTTCAGGAATTAGCTGCGTTTGAATGCGCCACTTCACAACACGACTGGGTACCATGTACGCTCACATGGGAATGAAGTGATGTAACTTAAAAACAAATGCAACAAATTCTGCTTTCTGTGACCGGTAAAGTCCTATTAAAAAGAAAGATCCTCAAGTTGTTCTTAACTTTYCCTGTCTGTCTTTCCCAATAACATACATCAATTTATTCCACACCCTCTCCTATTCCTCTCTCAGTTATGAATATAACTTAACCTCTTTTAAGCTCCTAAAAAGCTGCCTCTCCAAAAATTTTTATAACTTCCTTTTTGTTTGTTTTGTTTTGTTTTCTTTGAATGAAAAAGTCATCCTAGGAAAGATGATATAAAAAGCTGATTTTGGTTACAAAATTTCAATACTTTGTTTCTTACACTGCAAATATTTCAGGAAGTTTAAGAAATTGAAACAATAAATAAACTCTAGAATACAAAGAATACAAACAAACTACTAAAGAAAACAGAACAACAGAACAGATTTTCTTCAAAGAAGAAAGGGGTGCTCTGCACATACACTTACACATACACATCTCTTGCTATGTGAGATGTTATCTATCTGAGAGAGAAAATTCTATACTTCTACATACAGTTCTAAACTTCCATACTCAGTTACATCCTCCCAGTAGGTAAYGTGTGAGGCTCAAAAGTCCATTAGCCTCTGATGTAAAAAAAAAAAAAATAGAGGAGCAATCCAAAACGTAACATTGAACTGGGTTACAAAACCTACCAAAAATGGCATAAAATGGACAAAAATAAAGCTTTTATCCATAGGTCTGATACCTGGGAATGGAAGGAAAAAAAAAAAAAAAGAGAGAAAAGAATACCTGTCATGCTAAAGGAAAGATTAACCTGTTGTTCAGGGAGTCCTTTATCAACATAATATAATTCAGTATATAAAAATAAATGTAAATTATTAAATACRAGGCATTCACATGTTCTGGGCCAAAATGTTTCTCCTAGGTATGTGCAAATAACCTCTCAAGGTAAAATTAATTTTTCACACTAGAAAACTGAAGGTGAGCCTGAGAACTCCAGTAAAATCACTCTGGGGTAAAATCAGCTTCTTGGAGCAGGGCGTAAAGGGCTGTTTCAAGGAAACTGCAACCTAGCTAACCCCAATCCATAGCTGATAAACCCTACAGGGCCCACGGGGGCAGGTGCTCATCCATGTGCTCGTTGCTGGGCGTTATTCACTCCCTGGTGGTGTGACGCGAGCGGAGCAGGCCCTGCCCGCAACACTGCCCACGCCAGCCCTGACACGAGGGCCATGGACCCTGCAGGCCCTGGCAGGGCCCCACGGCACCTCCGTCCACGTGAGGGTCCGCCAGTCACCCACGCAAATCCTGTGAAATGGGYGGGTTTGGTCACAGGAAGCCCGGATTGAACTCTGGATACGTTTATATTCCGGATCTCCTTGGCTTTTTGAGCACAGAGTATGGCTATGAGACTACTTTAGATGCCTCTCAAATTATGACTTAACCTTAGATATTCGTCTCCAATATTCAACAGGTGGTAGGTTATTCTTTAGGTTCCAACTTTCAAATTTACACAGCAATTTATACATTTATATTTGTGCTCAGCCTGCGCTCCCTGCAGTATCTCTTCCAGTCGGGCAAGTGCATGTCAAAACACAAGTCTTGGCTCAACAGATGATCATCAGTATCAGAAGTGCTCTATGCCTTCTCTGAAACAACTCAGCAGCAAAATATTGAAAGAAAATTACTTCAGCCCTCGTGTTAACCAGCTGTGTATGACTTGCACGTGAAACTGAAAATCCCATACAGCAAGGCTCCCATCACACCCCACCACAGTGCCAGCACTGCACCCTCCGAACCAAAATGCAGAATGAAGGTTTGTACACAAGCCTGTCAATATCAGAAGCAAATCTTGTGCTTGCAGTGGAGTATTGGGTAAAAAAGAAAAAAAAAGAAAGTAGTCAGATTCCCTAAAGAAATATATTTTGGGGATAAAATAATCCCCCAAAGGAGCCACACTACCCATTTCTTATATGTTCAAGAGGATGGCTCACTTGTCTTACCAAAGCTATCTCTCCACGTCTTAGAGAAAATAATAACTTAGGAAAACAAAAATCACAAACATGAATGTACTATATGAAGAAATGGACAAATTAAAACAAGCAAGGAAAATATGTAGCTAGCTTGGRTTTTATTTCTTTAATTTTTGTGAAATGTGACTAAAAGCAATACTTTCCAGAGAAATACCTTTGCTTCTTATAAGAGTTGCTCACTAGAGCAAAAGTTATTTAGACTCTAACATCCCATTCATTACTACTGAAGCTCTTTGTAACCGGGAAATGTTAAGACAAGTAAATCCTATTTGTCAAATGGAAGTACTCTTAATTAGTCATTTTAAATCCACTACCTGCAGGAGAGCTTTAACTTGGTTGCCCAGTGAAACCATAAAATCAAAAATCCTTGGAAGCACAGCATGGCTTTTAATCACTTTAATGGCAGTTTTTTCTTGCCACTGGTGCTGGGCTGAAGGATGGCTTTTGGCTCCTGAGCTCRGTGCTGATCTCTGTGTTGTACTGAGGATTCCTTGCACCATCTGCTCTCTCTGTTTTCCTCTACTCCGTTATAAATTTCTGGAACAACAATGAGTCATCTACAGTGCTGTGAGCTCCTCATTTAATTTAGTCTGATGGGTTTCTTTTTTTCAAATTTGTACTGGAGAGTGCGTGTTCACTCTTTAATTCGGAGTGAGCTTATTTTACTTAGAATTTCTTTGTTTTCTCATCAGAATTTCCTTCCTCATGCATACACAGAAGGCAGAAATTACACAATTTTAAGCAATGAGTGGTTACAGTGCCACAGAATCAAAGAACAGTTGAGACTGGAGGGGATCTCTGGAATCCATGTAGTCCAATCACCCTGAGCAAGCAGTTGCACAGTGCAGCCCCCCTAGAGCACGTTGAACAGGCAAATTTTGARGATCTCCAGAGGAGATTCCACAACCKCTTTCAGCAACCTGTTCTGGTGCTCTGTCACCCCCACAATACAGGAAATGTATTTCTCATATTGAGATGGAATATTCTGTGTTTTAGTTTGTGGCCACTGTCTCTCATCTTGTTACTGGGAACCACAGAAAAGATTCTAGCATAAAAGAGTTCTCCTTACACCTTCCTTTAAGGTATCTGCATACATTCATAAGATCTCCACATAGTCTTTTCCTGAGACTAAACAGGCCTCAGCCTTCCCTCACRGGGCAGATGCTCCAATCCCCTATTCATTCTCATAGCCCTTGCTGGACTCTCTCCAGTGTTTGCATGTCTCTTGCACAGGGGAGCCCAGAACTGGACCCAGTCCTATAATAGTGGCCTCACTGGGGCTGAGTGGAAGAGGAGAAGGAAGGGGAGAACCTCATGGCCCTTCTTGTCCAAAAGGGCTCACTGCTGGCTCATGATCAGTCTACAGGCCACCAGGAGTCCCAGCTCCCTCCCCACAGAGCTGCTTTCCAGCAGGTCAAYCCCTGGGCTGTGCTGGTGCATGGGGTTATCCCTCCCAGTCCTGCACTTGCCTTTGCTGAAGTTCCTGAGGTTCCTCTCCACCCAGGAACACTTTTTGCCCCTGAGCAGCATCCTCTGAGCTGCTACGCAGCCAGTCCTCAGTCCTCCTCACCTTCCACTCACCTATCCCACATTTCCTGAGCTTCCCCACGAGGACATCATGGGAGACAGTGTCAAAAGCCTTGCTGAAGTCACAGTGGGCAACATCCACTGCTCCCCGCTCCTCTAGCCAGGCAGTGACCTGTTTCCCGAGTCTTTCTCTCCTTCCTACGTTCCGTTACTTGTCACTCTCTGACTACAGCATAGATGATCTATATGATTTCGGATACTCTTTTCCTTCAGTCTATTTTTTAATTTTCCAATTTCTTGTTTCATATTTTTAAAGTAGGCAAAGAAACTCACAGCAAGACAAATTTGGATACTAAAATCAGTACAACCATAAACATATAGAGTTTATAGCTGTTAATTATAATGTCCTTAAGCCTCATTTTGAAATCTTTTTCTCAATGATAAAATGAACATGGGTTCCCTTTTCCCATACCAGGAAATGCTGTTGTATTTATGCAACATTTCTCCAGCCTAGATTCTATAATTATATTAGAATTTCTGTACTATTTTACACTAAGTATGATGTTGTTATATTATACATAGTAATAAATGAAGTTTGGGACTTTATTCATGATCCSACGCTTACAAAAAATGTTATTTCAGAGCACTGTAGGAAAAATAATGATTTTACTTCTGTTTCTGGAAAGTCCCTTAGGAAGACAGCACGCAATACAAAGGCGTTTTTTTTAGGGCAGACATTAGGGCTGTCATTTTAGTCCAATGACAGAACTGGACGTCATGAGAAAAYATTTCCTGATCAGCAATGATGTCTTCCCTAACATTAGCATTGCAGCGATTTGCCAAGAGGGGATTCACCAGAGGAGCCAAGAGGCCAGAAGCCTTCATTTGTCATTGCTAAAGCCACGTGTGATGCACAAGCCCAGCCAA